TGAAGCCCTAAACCCTGCACCCTAAACGCCAAAGCCTAAAACCTAGCCCAGAAGGACAAATACCAAGTCTGAGCTCAGGAGTGGAGTGCGGGAGCGCGCTGCCTTCCTCCGTTGCGTGGAGGTGCTCGAAATTTGTTTTGTGGTTTCCTGAGAACCCTAAATGCTAAAGCCTAGACACCCTAAGCCAAGCGCTCCAAACCCCAAACCCTAGCATAATGGGCCCCAAAACCCTATTCTAATTATTAAGGCCCCTATATTATATCCTCATCGAACCCTTATAATAACCCTTAAACCCCCAGCCCCAAACCCTAGGGTTCAGGGAGATGTTGAGCACAACAGCCCTTCGGATGTCCTGAGGCCCTGGAAACCAAAAAAATCTGGCACTGGGACCCTGAAAGTATGTATTTTGCAACAGCCATTTATGGGTTGGGGCCATTGCTTCGCCTACTTGTGGGGGTTTAGATAGGGCTTATAAGATGCAGGATTCCGTACCTTTGTAAGGGCCAGTTGGTCCTTAAGGTACGCCCCCCAACAAGGGCCAATGCCCTGCACAGAGGCCTTGTATCAATGAGCTTGGGTAGAGCTGACAAAGTCCCTACATTCTAGATCCTTATATTCACCCACGTGGTAGGCCCTCTAGAACTTACGGCGAAACTTGCATAGCAAACCCCTAAGCCCTAAACACCAACTTTTTGTAATTAGCCCCTATGGAACCCCGTTACCCCGTAAAACCCCAAAGAGGCCGGGACTGAAGCTTTAACGGTCTCACGGGCTGAGCTGAGAGTTGCGAGCCTAACAAAGACCCGAAGCCCCGTAAGTCTAAACCGTAACGCCCTAAAGTCTGGACCCCTAAACCCTACAGACCCCAAAACCCAAATCCCAAAGCCTTCCTATAGGCCCCCGTAGCTCAGGAGGGCCTGCTTGAGGACATGTCCTACGTGGATTTGCAGGCAGGGATTTGGGTTTAGGGTTTAAGGGAACCCTCTTTCTGGGTGCTCCCTGGTGGGAATCTGGGGTTTAGGGTTTAGGGATACTACTACTACTTACTACTACTA